GGCGACAGAGTGAGACTCCAACTCAAAAAACAAAACAAAACAAAACAAAACAAAAAAAAACCTTTTACTATAGACGATAACGTTGGAAACTAGTGAATATAACATGGTATCTTAAATATAACCAAATAGAAGTTAGAAAAGAAAAGAAAGTGGAATAAAATGGTCTATATGTATTAAAAAGAGAATGTACTAGGCATTTTTGTCTAAATTGTGAATGATGAAGAAAAAGAAAAAGCCTACTTCAAGTACATTAGGCTGGTGTAGGAGATCATAACAAAGGATAGTAAGGGACACAATTAGTTGGATGACTTGAGAAGACCCTCCAGTAGCACCTGGATATAGGTCTGTAGCAAAAATCTGGAGCAAAAATTGGGAGAGGGAGAGTAGAAGGCATCATATTTACAAATCAACTCTTCTGAATCTAGCACATATTTGTGTCAGTTATTATACCATAAACACTTAAAAATATTTTTTGTTAGAAAGAAATGTAGAATTATAAAATGACAGCAGTACAAATGCCAACTTTATTTTGGTTATGTTTAGAATAACTTATACAGTATAAATAGATATGGTCAAATTCTGCCTTGACAATTGTCCCTCTTTCCTGTTTCCAGTCAATACCAGTCAATCCCCAGAAGTAAATACAGTCTACCATCACACACACATGCACACACAAATACATCATTTTTGCATTTAATTCCCACTCTCATATGCCTGGTCTGGGGTGGCCTACTCTATCTGTAGTTCATTTAACATTGACTTAGAGATCTTTCATATCAGCACATAAGTATCCACCTCATTTATTTTAATAGCTGCATGTCTTACTATAGTTTCTTTTAAGATTCTCTATATTGAAGGAACTTTATGCTGCTTTGTACCTTTGCAAGATTACAAATTTGAATGGCGAGTTCCTTATACAGGGTTTTCTGTGCATAGAATAGGAATATATCTTGAGAGCTTGTTTGGAGGTTTTAGCAGAGGAGCACAGCTATGTGTATACCCTTGACAGAAGAAAGGTCCTCCTCTAGCAGGGATGATTGTCCTTTTTGACCGAGCATGCAGCTTGGAATATGTCTTTAAAACAGATTCCAAAGAAGAATCATTGGGTTGAAGGGCATGTGTATTTTAATTTGTAGAAATATTGTCAAATTATCCT